AAACGATTAGTGAACAATTAGTATAGATTCCATGCTGATGCTATACTGGAAACGCTGCCGAAGTCGAGGCCCTTTGCGAGGATAAGCGATTGGAATTTGACGACAGTCTGAGCATCTGCAGCTGACGAATAGCAGCAGTTGCATTGTAAGCCTGAAACAACGGCAGTTCTATGAACTGTGTAACAACTCAAATATGGCTGTGAGTCCTCAATTCAAAACATCAACTAAATAATGATGTTTACTTTTTGTAAAAAAATGGACATTCCAAAGACAAAACCTAACCTTGTTTCAAAAATTACGATAGGAAGAAAAAGCACTTAAACCAGATTTGCATTTGAATCCAAAGCCTTACCTTTCTCCAATTTCTTCTGGCGAGGGATTTTTTGAGATGTGAAGCGACGGAGCCATGAATATCGGTGGTGTAAGCAGTATTGCCACTTATCCTGAAAATTGCTTCTGATGGTGTGACCTTTCAAACTAGGATTTGATCAGTCTTCGACGCACGTTATTTCCCGATAAGCTATTATTCAAAAATTTTGAAGCAACACTGATTTTGTTCCGTTAAGGATTGGAAAAAATTTGATCGACAATTTCTCCTTTTTCATAACTTGCTTCTTTTTGTAAGTATTTTGCTATAAAAACCTATATAAACTCGCCATGGATGCTCTAATGCTTGTTCGCAGGTGTAGCGCTGTTCTGGATCGCAACACATCAGATGGGATATAAAATCCTTTGCTTAAAAACAGTAATGTAGTTCTTCAAACATTAAGTAAGTAAAACAAGACTTACCGGAATCTGAGATCTGGTCCCAATAAGGAGCATCAAACTCATATTCACCTTTAATGATTTGAGCAAAAAGATTCGCGTCGCTCTCGTCGTAAAATGGAGGATATCTGAACTTTAATATTATAGCCTTGAGTTACTGCAAAGTATCTAATGACCTGCATAAGAACTTATGAATTGTCAAATGAAAGTAATAGGAGGGGAATTTTTTTTGATCCGTTGGGATTCGTCCCAACATGCAAAGTTGCAGTAGTGTGTGATGGGAAGACAAGTGTGCTGATATTCCCACTATCAACTCCTGCCCTCTAGCGCCGAAAAAAGTTAGAATCGGAAGCGTTTTCATGATTGATGATTTTTAACTAAATTTCGGCGAAGAATATTCGCAAGTGTGTAACGATGTTTAAACAGCAACAAACAATATACATACCAAAGGAATGCAATAAATTCCTACATTTAGCCAGACTTGATTGATATTCTACGCTTACTTGGCACTCCTTACTGGATATATTGTAATATAGTCGATTTGTACCGTATTTATAACTCGCGAT